TTCATTACATATATATATATTTGTAAGTTTATACGGATTTTTACCCTTAATTTCCTTGTGTATACATTTGCGTTGACTGAAATAAAGGATTAGAGTTGTGAATACCAAGACAGGATGACCCTACTCTGTAATGCTGCGCACAGGTGTTACAAGAGCTATTCTAGTATCTAAGGACCTAGAAATCAACATTCAAAGAACACTGAAACACTTGGTATTCTATCAAAGTTCCAAGACAGAGAAGGACAATTTTATAGTGTCAGAAATAAGCAAAATAGGTACGTCTCCTCAATAGGATCAGAAGATAGCTACGTGTTAAATGTGTTTGTTGATATCGTGATGGTTAGTGATTTTTTTAATGGAATCAAACGAGAGTTTGCGTACGGTGAAAATAATAACATTGTATTTTACCAACAGTCCCGTTAACCATTATAACACTGTATCTTACCCACAGTCATGTTAACCATTATAACACAGTATCTTACCTACAGTCACCTTAACCATTATAACACTGAATCTTGTAAACTAATTATATGCTTGAGATACAGATGCTTTAAATACTATTGATAAAGTTTAAATATAACACTTAGGAGTCGCCGATGCCAAATTACTTTTCTTTGTTGCTTCAATATAAAAAAATATGTATAACAAAGCCCATTAATTCACAATGTGTCGGAATGAAGTCTTCATCCTACCTCACAACTGATGAAGTGAAAACACAACATAAACAAAAACAAAAAACCCTGAAAAAATATGAGCATAAAAATAGATGTTCCAGAAGGGTAAGTGTCTTTTGATTTATCGACGACACCCTCATGTAAATCCTGGTCAATTCAAGATTATAATGTCACGCTCTTTACATGAATAAGATATTAACAACTGAACCACCAGACAGGCTTAATTACATCAATAATGATATGTCCATTTTCTTATCGCAAAAGAAAAACTGTTTATTCTTTTCATGTGTTTGTTGTATCATTATACAACTACCACATAGCAAGTGCATTTTTGAAGACCATGTGTTTTCATTTTATCTGTCATCTGTTCACATTTTGAATGACAATGGTGGCACTGATCCCATGAACTAAAATATTGAATCAACTGGCTAAACACCACAACATAGGAAAGGTGGAGGGTGACTATCTAGAAATGAAAAGTTCAGAACTGGGAAATCACAGTCATCATGCTTATCATAAAACATGGCAAAAATATGTGTTGGTTATAAAGGATTAACATGCAATTTAGACGAGTCCAGATGCTATGATGAACATGCAGCCAGTGAATCACGTTCAGCAACTTATACGACTTACTGTGAGGCGTTAAGTCTAAATTGGGTTTTGGGAATATATGTATGCACAAAAATGCAGCCCTGGAAAGTGATATTGATTAGAAACAGATTTAAAGCTATTGGACAGTGTGCATGTAGTTGAATCGCTTAATGAATATTATGAACTCAGAACATGAAGGCGTTTCTTTTGTTTAATAGTAAAAAACGAGCGAAAGCGTAGAAATTGGAACTTTGGTTTAAAATTACATTTTCAGATATTATGATTCGGTGATTATCAGTCTGATGTTTTGATCAAAGTTGTATCATGTCCACATCATTATTTTTTCAAATGAACAAGTTTATCATGAAATGAATTTCTAACACAACTACTCAGTCTGTAAATAGAGGCAATCGCCAAATAAGTTCAAAACATATCATAATGGAAATGTGTTAATGAGAAATATTGTTGACCATGTCACTGCTCTTGGCGCATGTAGTAGTATGATAAAATTTAATTCAAGATCCGCAACATCACTATCAAGTCTTATATAATCGAAATAACGGTAGAATGAAGTTAAATTCACGATACTGCTTATTCTGAAACATATACTTGTGTTTGTATTTTAGAGAATTAATATGTGCTCTATTCAAAAGAAGATAAGATGAAACAGAAAATTGTTTCCAAATAAAACATCGGGCATAGTAATACGCATTGGAATGATTGACACAGCTATTCTATAGAAAATAAACGAATAATGAGCCAGGCGCTATCAAAGATATAGCGGTTTCTGCACCCATCGTATTAAAACTACATTGGATTTTGCCCATTCGACTATATCTCGCATAAAAGAAAATATTACAGACGCCTTCTATGTTAAAACACCTCCGATATCTGCTATTGTGACACTAAATTATTTCTTAAGTTGCCTGCTTGTTTTTAGAATAGATTTTAATTAAAAAGTAGAACAATTTACATTCCTTGTTATCTTGTAATGTTTACGATCTGTCATGTGAATCTGATGAACAAATATAGTTTATATTATATACATTTATGTCTAAATACATCAGATAAAAAGCCTATCTTATCAGATCATACACACACCTGTGATCAAAAGGTAAAAAATACATCAGATATATGATATATCCTGTTTCCACATCAATAATGTTTGTGGCATGTACACCTATACTATATGTATTTCAGTCACATTATATTCCTTTAGGCCCCTTCTGTAGTCGATATTAGACCCGATCTCCACTAAATCTATTTTACGTACACCATCATCCATCTATGGTATGCAAAGTTTTCAATAAGTGGAAAAAAAGTATTCAATAATAGGGAATATATTGTTCTTACATCTTTATTATAAACCAATGATGATTATTCATAACGGTATTCTGCAATAAAGAGCAGACATTATCTTATAAATATATATCTCTATTTTTATACTTGCGGTATCTTCGCTAAACAAGGACAGGTATTGGTTGTTATTTACAACCATTTTTGTAAACAAGGTTGATGATATAATTTATTATTTAATATTGCTTTGAAAGCTTCCATGAGATACATACCATGTCAACATTTCTTGCACCACATGGCTTTGAGATATGATCAATTTCAAACAAACTAGAGTAGTTTTCATCTTTGTGTTCGTTTCCGTGTTTTGCTGTCAGTGCTATATTGAGGTGTAGACGGCATGTAGTAGATAGGTGAGATATCACTAAACATCATGCAAGATGCCTGCAACATACATTCTACTGCCAATTAGGAGAGGTCCTGTCGAAGGACATTAAACAATAACACAAGCAAATAACGGTTCATGTCACCCTTCCGATAATCATATTTCTCTTCGTGATTAAAGATATTGGCTACCAATGGAAAATAATGCTATTTTGAATGTTTTCAAATTTCAAAATTTTCAAAAGAAATACCCTTCAGATTCGCGCAGCACGTGGCCTAACTTTATCATGCTGAAAGGTCAACTGGTGCCTTGTAAATGAAATGCACAGGATCCCGTATAGATAGCGTTCAACATTTACATTCATGACAATGATCCCAAAATGTATCTTTAGATAACGGAGTGTTCCTCCCCAAACAATAACCTATCTACCCCCAAATATGCTGTGCTCCAAAACACAAGCGACTACTAGACGCTCACCACGACGCCGGTACACACGTTGACGGTCATCTGATCAAAATAACATTAATCGAGATTCATGCGTAAAGAACATGAATCTACAACGTCACACAGGAAAACATGTGGGCAAATGTGAAGTCAATAAACGAATGCGACGTGCTCGACGTTGAGTTGTCAGTTGCAAACCAACGTAAATACGACGGTTTCGATTACCAATGGTATTTCGTGTCGTGTCGGCTGCCGTTGTGCTCCTATCATGCCAGTGGACAAGCTTAATGGATCGATCTTGACGTCTCGACATTTGTTGGGTAATCAGATAATGTGCCTTAATATTCCTCTTACTTCTTGTACGGCAATGCATTTTCAATACAAAATATGTTGTAATTAAATAAGTTGTATTTCTTTATCTGTTCAGTGTAATAGTAAAGTGATACCTTTCTGTTCATCTGTTCAAGCATAACACATTCTGGACACAGGTCGAATACTTTGAGTTGCGTTACTTTCAACCCCACAGCTGGTCGACGGTAAAAACATCAAAGCTCTGAATTTGAAGCGAATTACGAAAACAAAATGTAAAAGCAGTCGGCAGCGAGACCATCATTTCAGATACATTTCCCGTTGAATGGGAGATTTTGACATTTATATAGTCAATTGATTCTCAGTCGATGATAAATGGAATAAATCCCAATGCAGTGATTTTAAAAATATATGTATAATCACTATTCTAATATTCCGCATATAACACAGAAAATAAAATATTTTAATTTCGGAAGTTTGTTTCCTTTATTTCGTAGCGACATTTTCCCTTTGTTCTAACCACAGTCTGTCTTTAGTGTGGTTAACTCAAGGATATCTGTCGCCTAATATGAATTACAAAAACAAAAGGAATAAGATATACCGTAATATGATATAAGGTATACAAACGAGAACCAATGCTAGATATTTCACTTTAGCTATCAGTAATTACACAATTAACAAAGTTGTTCTGCATAGACTGCATAGACAGTGTACACTGAATTTCTGACATAAACGTACACGAGACTCCTTAAAACCAGTGTTTCTATACTCAATGGCCTGTTATAGCCCCTTTGCCTAAGACAATAACTCCAAAAAGACGAAATTATTATCATATTGGTTCTACTGTTAGTATTTTACTGTCATCTTAGGCTTATCTCACGCTTCATTAAACGTCTGTTTACCCAAATCACCTTGTTTCTGATTATCGATCATATCTAAATACGTTTGATCCTCTATTGTGGAGTTTTTCTCCTTAGGACCATATGTTCAGTGACGAGCTAAGGATTTTCTGGTTTTTGCTCTTTATGCTTAATATCAATGCTTACATACTCCCAACGTAATCATGCGTAGACACATATGATTTACAATCTCAATGACTTTTTCAGTAAGTATTCTTTTGGAACGAATGTGTGCTAGATAACAATTCATCCCATTGGAATCATCGACTTTGTCTAGAAGTATAGAGTAAACCATGCGTGTCTTCTTAATCACCTTTGCAGAATAAGACAAAGGTGAATGATCTGTTTAAATAACATAACAACAAACATATATAAATAATCATTGACGACATATAATGGATAATGTCATTGCTCGTAATGCTTCAGTGTCCGCGCGGACGGGTCTAAGGAAGTTGACCACTTCGCCATCCAGAAATAGGGTATCAAATGGCCTTGTCCAGGGTAGAACTTTTCAAATATCTGTCGGTAGTATAGAGACTCTTTGCTGAAAGGATTGTTATTGGGATACCGCTGAATGCAATCATCAAGTTGAAAGTCGTTTATCTGCCATTACAAAAGGGCGGTTAGTATTTTGCTTAACATATCATTTTACAAATCTTAAATTATAGTATGCTTTTTGTATGAGTTTCATTAAATACGAAACAAAAGTAAAATATCAGAGTAATAAAATTATTTTGATGATTGATACATACGTTTTCCTCCACGACATCTTGTAAGATTTCGAACCAAGACTTGACTTGCGAGGAAAGGCCGTCACTGAATCCTTCCTTTGGTCTCCATAAGATATCCCGAGGAACTAAATCAGTGTCGTCAAAGGCGGACCGAAGTAAATGCTTCTCTACGCCGTTTTGCGGGGACTTTATTTCAGGATCAAGTGAGAGGTAGTAAGAGCTAAAATGATGATCGAGGAAAGGGACTCGTATCTCCAGCCTGAAACAGAAAACGGGAAATCAAAACGAAACGGAAGGGAAAAGTATAAACAAAAGAGCAATGGAAATTATTATTATAGCAAGCTAACGGTTGATCAGTATTTACATAATAATGTATTTAAAATGCGATCGTTTCTAAGACATGAAACCTTACAAAATTTTCTCAAGTGTTCAGATGAACTAATAAGGTCGCGATGTACTCGGACCAGTAGTTGTATAGTCGCTACCGTCATAAGCATAAACATATTTAATTAAATCATTATTATGCATTCTGCTCACAAAGCATAAGATGAGTTATCTAAGAAATAAATGATAATTTTCCACGTTTTGTTCCATAAGAAAATGCTTACCCAAAAGCTGCCGACATTCTATCCACTCTTTGAATGTCAAACATGCTTATGTCTTTACAGAGTCGTCTGCTCTCAATGTCACCTTCCTCGACAGAGGGCGCTTTATGGAAGTATATGTACCCCTGGGCGACCTCATCTGCTCCCTCTCCAGACAAAATCACTGTTGTATCTGTTGTTTGCTTCACGTACTTGCATAGTAGATACATAGCTGTATAAGTAGAAACTATCGATATAACAACAAAGAACAAACAAATCATAATATGTACGCCATATCATTTTTCATTTTTGTTTTTAACTGTTATACAAATTAGGTTTTATATTAATTAAATGCAGTTTGCTTATATCGATTGGAAGGTGGATATAATATTGGACAAAAACAGTAGTAGATATATGATTTCATTTTTGTCATTGAAATATACAGAAATATTTCATTGATAAAAGTGTTGTTTTTCGCTGGTGAAATACAGCTCACTCGTATATCTAATACTTTGTATTTTTCACTCGTATAATTTACAGAATATATTATATATGTTAACATAACGTCAATTACCGAAGTTTCTGGAAAAAGGCAATAAAGAAATCGAGAATGACAGACTTGCGATGCTGGAGGGTTGACCGAGTGTACATTATGACGTTAAGATGTTAAGATAGTCCGTGATGCTCTGGAGGTTGGTGCGTTATAGCCCATTGGTACAAGAGAGACAAATGTTACTCTTTAGACACATAACTGAGGGTTTGCTAATATAAAGTCATATCTATGCCTTGTCTGATACAAAATCTTAATTAAATGCCATGTTGATAAATCTATCATCAACATATTTGAGATTTGATTCGTACATATTCAAAATATGAATATGAATATTTAATATAATTTTCTGTATGGACTTGTTTATTGTTTCATCATCAGATATGCAAAATGCTGTTAATGATAGGGAGAGCAGAATTTATATTGGTGTTGTAACAGCGCAAACCATTAAACACTTCACCTCGTCTCCTTTATTGATTGGTTCGATTTCCCAGAGTACAAATCTGTTGCAACATCTATATAATGAATATCAGGATTTTTTACATCGAAATAATTCAATGTACTTTCATTGTTAAAAGTTAATATCAAATCATGTATATTGATGAAACGTTAAGTGTTATATACCATTTGCCTGCAATTTGACAATTTTTGTAATTTCGGTATTATGAAAATTCTCAAAAGATGAATTAAAAAATTAGAAATTCATCTTTATGTTACATGATTTCTTTCTAATACATGTATTTTAGAATTATTCATACATATCGTTGAATAAACAGGACATCTTGATCCACATAATGAAAATATCAATAGCGGCAATCCCCTCTTCTGGTGTAAAAACAATCTCATGATGTTCTGTTCCCAAATGTTTAGCCACCTGTTTATAACAAAGAGTCTTATTTTGGTAGATTATAACCAGTAGGACAGTTGATTAAAATTGGAATTCAATGCAATGATGTAAACGCATGTATATACATTGTCATCACCTTCCACAAACATTGGTAATATTAGTTATGGAAAGTAAATTCAGACCATAGAGTGAAGAATTAATAGCACTGTGCAGTAATATTCATTGGAATGAATGTTATTGACGAAATATAAAGGATTTTTTTCTGTTTCTGTTTTGTTCTTCTGTACCGAAGATGACCCTAATAATAATTAACGGATATAAAGGATAAACGTATTTAATGAGAATGTTTTACATAACAGAAATCTAGATATTGTCTTCTCTTTCATATGCAATAAAGCAGTCTCTTTGTCATTATCATCTAGTCCTTTCGGCAAGAATTTACAAATAGGCAATATCACTCATATCATATGAATATGCATATGTACAATATGTCATGTTGCTATGTTAACACCAATAACTTATTTACCATTACTTTCACGACATTTATATATGATAATTTGTAATGTGCAACAAACCTTTCTTGCAGCTTTTAGGTCTGGACTTTCCTTCATACCGATAGAAAATGTCTGTATAGGGTATGGTAAGCCTCTCTCCTTCGCCAAACTAACTAACAACGCAGTCACTAAGCTAGAATCTACACCACCTACAAAGTAGCAGATGTGTTGTTAAAGCTCAAAAAGAAGAGATGGTGTCGAAACAATTTGAAACAATATATCGCAGCTACAAATATAGCTAATATGTTGAAAACGAATAGAAGTTCAGTTGGCAATTTTGTACGATATACTGAATCTAGTGATTAAGGCTTCTGTTTAAAAATCTTTAAAACAATAAATCACTTCGCAAAATTGAAATATTTCACATTAATCCATGGAAAAAACACGCGATATAGAATATATTACGATCACAAGATAAGATGAACACACCTGATAGCAAGCACCCGATACGACGTTCCGACATCATTCTCTTGCTAACAGCCCTTTGCAAGAGAGTTCTGATGTTGGCTTTGGTATCCACACCTGAAGAAATTGAAATGTCCGTAATGAACAATGCGCGGGGCAATATGTATGTGAAATATCTTGTTGCTAAAAACGGATTTCAGGATTTCTTGGACCAAGATTATATCATCCGCTGACAAGACATCATTCTGGTAAAAAAATTCACATCTGAACGAATTAACTCAATGAAAGTATTTAAGTTGAAATATGATTTTGAACAATACATGAGCTTTCATAACTGAATATGAGTAACATATATCAAAAATGGAGGAAAATAAGACACAACGAACCTATTATTGGCTGCGAAAATCCATGAGAAGGGATGTCACCTATTTCATGAAATTTCAACAGGTTATCAAAAGAGACCTGGCATTTACTGTCGAGACTGTAAGATTCCAAATGGCCGGGATGCAAGTGTTGAATCTTGGATTTAGATTGGTGGTCAACGATATCCATCAAACCTGCAAGAAATCATATAACTATGTAGCAGCTTTTAAAAATAATATTTTAATTAACCAATTTTCATTTAATTTCGAAATATATTTTATTTCTCAATCAAGTGATAACAGCTATGAGTGCCTAATAATTGAATGTTTATTCTTTATACTTCTTGGTCGTCTGAACATTGATTTCTTTTGCACTTTCATGTCTCGAAATACAGTTCATCACATCCGAAAATCATATTTTGTTAATTGTGTCTTACAATGGCACATGGTAATTGACTTTCCTTCCTTCTTTATACAAGAGAATAACATTTTTTACGTTTATTGTGTTATAAAGTAACAGTGACTGCACATTAGTCCAATGGCAGATACACTTTCCTGTCCTTAAAGAATATGTTGAGCGATTTTTCCAGTGATAGATGATGTAATACAGGTTTCAGGTAAACAGGAGAAAGAAGGTGTGGTACCTTGTGGTAGATGTAATGTACAGATCCTGACACACCTGATTGTCTCGGATGACCGCATTGAAATATAGTTGCGGTAATACAAAATTAGTCGAAACCGGTGCTCGTCACATCAGTAACATAAACACATAGTTGTTTTTATTGTATTTGTTAACAAATCTGTATTTATATATCTATGCATATTAAATAAAAGACATGAAAGTAACCCGAGAGATATTTCAATCAATGCGCCAGGCACGACTGTCCATGCTTATGTCGTTAATGTTACCAAATTATCAGGCAAATTTAGAATAGAATTTCAAACCTTTAATAACAACCATACGAAAATTATTTTGTCGCAAATGGGTTTTAAAATGTAAAAATGTATTTGAAATCAGTTACCAACAGAATTTAAGGAAGCATTCCTCTGAGAAGTAAAAGAAATCCAGTATTACGTTAGTCTGATGATGACTTTTTCAAAGGTTTCATTTTAGACAGTAGTTTAAAAGCAAATTATCAATATGTTTCCGCGCTACCTTTTCCGCTATAGGCATCAAAATATGACAGTTGTCAAAGGAAAAACTCACATCTTGTTCATATTTTTTCTGAATAACACACATTCCTCTGTTTTGTCATGGCAAACCTTTTCAAAATAAATATTTGTCTTTTATAAGAAAGTAAGAGTATAATACTTTAGGATACAAAAATATTTTTGAAATTAATAATGTGAAGATACTAAGATTTAAAATTTTAAATGAGGATACACACCGTGCGCACAGATGTGCGATAGTAAACTCGCACCAGGTTTCCTATCGTGAACACTGTGTACATACATTGTTCGCATTTGTGCCGACATCGTGTACACATCGTGCTGATATTGTGGGCACGTCGTGTAACGTGCGATTCCATAACTGTATTTGTATATATGCATATGCAATAAATGACGTGAAAGTATCCGGAGAGATATTTCAATCAATGTACCAGGCACGAGTGTCCATACTTATGTCACTAATGTTACCATGTTATCAGGCAAATCTAAACAAAAAATTCAAACTAACAACCGACTGAAGAATTATTTACTGTCGTTATATCGTGTAAACCTCCCACAGTGTACTTAATATAAGTTACCAAGTGTATATAAAAGGTATTTACTTTGAAAAGTGGAAAAAATCCAGTATTAACTTTTTTTAAAGTGATGATTCTTTAAAATATAGACAGTAGTTCACTAACTCATAACAGACATTTCTTTGTTATTTTCACAACAACCATTTCAAAGATAAATGTTCATTTTCGTAACATCGTAAGGGTATGATTCTTTATAATGTAAACGTATTAAGAAAAATCGATAGTGTAAAAATACTTAATTTCACTTGATTTAAAAAACAATTAAACTGCACAGCAGCCAAAAATGAAAATGTTTGGATAAAAAACAAAAACATTAGTATACTTTTCATGATTAAAAAAAATGGGGTTTCCGTACTTTAATTCTTGTATTTTTTACCGAAATAAACTGTTTTTCGAAGATCAAGAAAAAGAACTGAAACATTTTTTTCAGATCATAAATGTTCGGGAGTGATAGGTCACGCCGAAATGTACGATTTTAAAATAAGTCATATAAGATGATAATTCGCTAAAAAATAAGTTGATATATATACTCAAGACTGACTCAAGAGAAGCACCTTAGCAACAACAAAACGTTGATATTGTTGAAGTTCTTAATCGAATCTTTCACTCCACCACGCCGTCATAAAAGTAGTCTTAAACAAAAAATCTTCAAAATGTCATAAAGATCGTTTTTATATACATTTTATAAGTATAAGTGTAGATAACAAAGTGTTTAAGAACTTAAAGTTCAAAATATCATGTTAGAATTGATTTTATATACACTTCTTGTCAAACTTCATAAGAACACACCCATAAGTAGCGATGTTGTCGTTTTAAGCAACAACAGAACAATGTTATTTTTTATTTTATTTTCTTCTTTAAATGGACATGTAATGAAATTTAACAGTAAATAAAACATGTGTTTTATGACGTCAATCCATAACATTAGTGAGTCGATGGGCGGCGGTATCTCGTGTGTTGATCCTTACTCTAGATATAATGAATATTATATTTATATAATCGTTTCGTTGTCAAACATCGCCAGTTTGTCTCTATATGTCACCAGTCAAAAATGTGATTCACAAGTACTTGCTTAAGTAAACATGTAATGTCACAATTATGATCTATCATTCGTTTCTATTTCTTGCTCGAATTTTGACACTTATCACCAATTTGTTATTAAACCTTTGAATTAAAAATTACTAGCGTTTTTTCATAAGTCTCCTATGCTCACCTGTTTGACCATATCTCTAATCACAGGTAACGCTCATGATGGTTTGGTTTGTATGGTTTAGATTAGATTGATGAAATATGGACAGAGGCGACGGCTGTAACCTGATAATTTGTTTTTACAATATGTTATAGAATCACTAACCTTTCAGTTCAGAACACAATGATAATACACCATCTGCCGTAAGAATGCGAAACAGCGGCTTCACACCGAATGTGTCCCTGCCAATGTAGACCTTCCTGTTGGCGGTGTCAAGGAGACAGAAGGCGAACACTCCGTCTAAATGCTTGGCTGCAAACTCAATCCCGCCTTGGACATATGGATGGATGATGACCTCTCCGTCACAATTAGTGTCATACTGGAAGTTGTACTGCTCCCGTAGCTTAACATAAGTTAAAACTGTTTTTATCATTGAACTTTATACATTAATGTAAAATGTTTTATCATGATTTTGTTTCATGGGTCTCATCCTGATGATGAAAAAAAACATGTGAAATACTATTATGCAAAAAGGGATGGGACGCGATTCTATGCATTTTCGTAAGGTATCATATTTACGTATTTTGATATTACTTTTTAATTTGTTTATTTCATTATTATTTCTTCAATGGTTTTATTTCATTTTACAATAATAAAAATACAATGCTTTTGTCTTTGTCCTAAAACATTTAGATGCATTCAGCAGTATAAGTAACATATCTTTTTTACGTTTCCTTTATGTGAATATGATTTTTGTTGAAAAAGTCAGTTTGATATTCATTGCATGTCATACACCAACTACTAACCAAACATTAATTGTAGCCATGATTTCAAATCAGTACCCGGACTTAATGTTTTTATCGATGTAAATGTCTTATGCTACAAAGTTATGTGCTCAATCAGATATTCTCTACTTTCTACTATTCAGCGCACGTTGGGTCATTGAAATCATTGTATATAAAATCTTACATCCATATGGTTATAAATCTCTCCATTATAGATAAGCCAAATGTGAGGATGCTTGGAAACTCTCATCGGTTGCATTCCATGATGAACGTCCAGGATAGCAAGGCGATAAAATCCAAGACAACACGAAGGAAATTGGTAAATGGTTTCTAATCGGAAATCATCGTGACCAAGATGAGCTATTTTGTACGCTTCTTTGTATTGTGAGGACAGGTCACCTACACATCCAAATGTAGCCCATATGCCACACATTTTTTTCATCAAAGACGAGACAGGTGAACGCTCTCCTGTTTACTCTCGTTTTGAATATCATCCAAATATACATTTTCGTTTTATGTAACTGCGCTATATAGAGCGTGACATTTAGTTTAATTTATTTCGCTTTTCCTTGGTCACCTCTAAGGTTTCAACAACTTAGGCCCTATATCAGCTTCTCAAACGAATCCTAGACCGACGAAACAGCTTTATGATGCAATTGAATTTAAAAGAAGCTGTATCGTATCTAATTATATCCTGTGTATCTTTTGTACATTAAAAGTGTAAAAAGTTGTTTCGTCCTTCTAGGATTCGTCAGTGTTGCTATGTATCTACAATATATTTATATATATTCTTCCAGCATGGGGCTGAATTTCCATCATGAAATGATCTATTGCACAAAGTAAAAATGCACATTGCAGTGCATTGAAATGTTTTTAGATGAATATCAGATGAAATTAGTTAATCGAGTACGTTTGGTAACATGGCTATTGTTTTCTCGTCTTCATGGTGTTACAGGTGGTAAGGAATTGACCGACATTTTCGACTGTACAATAATCAAATGTGCACCAAGCTAGGAAATAGTTTAACAAGACGGTAAAAATATTATAGAACAAAACAAGATGGTAGCAATGTACTATAGTCAATTTAACTACGATAATACCGGCAGATGAAACAACAAATGAATACCATTTCAATCGTATTGTGACAAGGGTGGATATATATCAGGGGAGGCAATGGAAATTTACAGATTTATTAACACTTAATACAACACATACTTCATCAACACAGATCAACAAATGAGAAACCCTTAGCTAAGTGACCTCGGCTAAGTATCCGGAGACAGTCTCCCACCCGTCTGTCCTCCACAGAGTAACTCTCTCCCACCCCGTACCCTGACCAGACATTTCCTTACAACACACATAAATAATAAGTTACGTAAGAATAGCCCGAAGCCTTGACAGCCCCATTGACCTAAGGTCAAACTCTCCGGCTTAACCAGTAGCCGTATCAGTCTGTCGTCTGTCAACACGGCCCCCTCCCTATGACAATTGGCGAAGTATATTGCGAATAATTATCCCTTACTCTTTCCCGTAAATACATTTTACATATTTAGGAAGACACAGTTCCAATTTATTACAGTACATATTCCAAATGTGAATAAAAAATTATCAGAGCGTAAAGTTACGTTTCTAAATTGACCGTAACCATAGAAGTAGAAATATAATACTATATTAGTGCGAACATAATTTTAAAGTGAACGGTGAACTTATGGACGTTATTCGAGCTGTCAGTTAATTTTTATCTCTCTTGTAACATTGTCAGAATAAAGGTTTGTTGTACTCTAATGCAATGTCATTTTCACGAATCTCATCAAAGTCATGTCATAAACTAATTGAAGTTTTCCCTTTTATATAATATCGATGAAACTCAACACGAGATTTAAATTTGCTATGCTAAAATCACGGCAAGTTCTACTTGACTTAATTCATAAATCTTACTTAAATGGAAACTTATGTAAAATCCTCTTCATACCCAATGATATTTTATGATGAGAAGAAAGCGAGTTTGGATGTTATTGCAGCAGGAAATATGGGTACCCGGGTAAACCCAGACGAGCGTATGGTAAAGTACCTATGATAAAGAGCCCATCATAAAGAGCCTATGTATTAACCATTATCTGCAATAACTTAATCATCTGTCTAGTCTTACTCATAGTAATGAGGATCAAACCACAATAAAGGTATGAGCTATGTAAAAGATACATAATGGGCACGAGTAATGTATCGGATATATCACACGAGTCCGAAGGAAATCTTCTTTAATCATAAAAGCTTTCAACACCAAAGGCCATGGATTTCATTAGTAGCCAATTTGATAGAACATGAAAGATAATTTCTTAAAGATAATCAGTGAACCATGATACATTCTAAATGGACGCTATTACCAGAAATATTTCGCATTTGCTTCTATCTTTATTTTTATATTCTACATTCTTCACATAGTTTTGCAGTCAGAACAGAATTTTAAAAATATTGCTGAACAATTATTTGCTATTTACAAGAATTTTCAAACATTGAAACATTATCAATTCTTTCTCTGTTACGCGTGTTTCATGTGAGAGTTGTGACTGTAGTACAACGTTCAATACGATGATTGTCTAACACATTTTCCCCGTTTTTAATTTTAATCCCAAATGGTAACATATGGCCAATTGCTTCATTTGAAAATCGTTTTCAAATGAAAATTAGCTTCGTGCTTTTTGCATAGAACTCCTTCATTAGGTGTGTTTCATGTTAGCGTTGTGACTGAAACGTTGTGTCATGTCCTACCTCGCCAGATCCAATTTAATGAGCTCTGTACTACTCGTCCCGTGACACAGTCAGATTTTGTCTTTGATGTCAGGTTAACATCTAATTTCGGAAGGCAGAGAAAAGTATTTAAATTTTGCTCTTCTTTCGCCGCTATTTGAATTGTGGTGGGTTTTAACCATCATGTTAAGTGTTCCTGTCGGCGAATCTCGCGTCCTGCATACAATCACATGTCCGTTTGTAAACCCGAAAAAACAGCAACGTAATTTCAGAATCGCAATACTCTCAACTTTAAGATTTATCATAGCAGATGTTCAGATCGGTGATAGCGAAATAAATAATGATCCATGACTTTCCTAGAACCATCTTTATTTCTTCACAATCTTCGTTCGTTCTAAAAATCCAGAATAGCGTCCTCCATGTTTGTTAACTGCAGCAACCTCGCGGGAAATCGCGTGGCTGGTTTGTGTAAAATTCTGACATAAACATGGCCTATGTTTAGCCAGAATCATTATTTTGGAATTATGATTTTTTACAATATAATACGACCATAATCTATTACTTAAAAACATATATTTGTTTAACGCTCTGCTTAAGCTAGGTAATAGTATGTTGGTGCTGTAACAACTTAAATAATAAATAGGTCATTTACCTTCTAAAAAGATTAGCGCATCTGTTTGATAAACGGTCCTGTAACAGCTGTATGTATGTTTCATTTCGACACTACTTACGTTTATAATGACGAATGAAAAGTATTTGATATATCATATCAAGGTTGTCAGGTTTGCAGTAGAGTTTAGCATCAAATTTTCTGTAAAATATACAAGGTATGTTGAACGCATACTTATCTTAATAATTATACATTAAGCGCTATCAAAGAGAAGGTAACAGTGTATGATTGAAACGTGGAAGATTGGTGAGTGAGAGGAAGTTGATTCCATGGTAAACATGTCTGTGTCTCCTGCGAGATCCACATTGTGTTTTGCGCCTATATATATACATGATATGTAGTTCCATTTCTATATATGTTTAATTGTGTATCTTCTTTTTTTCTTTATCCCCTCCCCATCCGTCTGTTTGTTTGTTTGTTTGTCTGTTTGATTGCCTCTCTCTCCACCCTCTTCTCTCTTCTGTACATATATTGGTATATAGATTATACATGTCGTTTTATATTATTTAACTGTCCAGCTTGTTGATGTATATGGCTGAAAATCTTTGGAATAGAGCTAAATATAAGTTTGAAAAAAACTTCCCTTTTTATGTTTTGATGCAATTAAAATATGTTTGAATAAAATCCTTACAGATCGGTAACTTCCTGTCTTGTTAGTTTCAGGTTTCAAACAATTCGTCCTATATACTAACTACGTGTAATACATGCAATAACAGTTTTATTTATTTTTGTCTCTCATAAGATTTTTTGTATACCAGATAATCCCGACAATCAATTCCTAACGGCCTTGTAAAACCTGTGATGAAATATCCCGTAGCTACGTAATGTGCAAACTCCCCACTTTCGACATTTACGGAAGCAAAATAAACCATTTATAATTTGTTGTTAAGTTTTGCTCTGGGTTCAATATCCAATACCGATGTCAGTGATTTTGAACTTCCGATTGCTTCAACGAGTTGTACATTCTTCACAAAATTTCATGGAGTTATTGGGAAATGTATTCAAATTTTAAACATTGGCTGTTGATAGCCATCTCCTATGAATGCGTTTAATTAGCTTGCATGGATTATATCTCAGCGACCCATTTAAACTTACAGATATACATAAATATAATCAGCATGTTTAGTCTTTCAGTAATTTCAGTGCTTTGATGTTCCCCCCTGGGAGTTCTCCATCACGCTGAATAGGGAGTGTGAATGGGAAGCTACTCGCGATAAAGTAAGCGTATTTTTGATATATTAGTTGTGATTGCAGACTACATGATCGTATGGGCGCATCCACATTTATTTAACAAGGTAGAAAAGATGAGTATTTCCAAGCGTTTTACAGACAAAGACAAAGGCATATAAAGCAATACAAACACAAATATCCTCTCTTTCAACACACATCAGTTACTCATGGCTATTTTACTCGGCAAATATAATTTTTACAAGTGTTTAATCGACAATGACTCCACTTCGCAGATAAACCAAGATGGCAGACGCCAGATAAAGGGCGAAGAGCAATTTGAACAGCTCACCATCTAAAAATAGTTGACAAATAATGCATTGGTTAGCAGAGAAATATTTTATCATGCCATTACTAATCGATGTCGTGTCGTGAATTATATAAGATAAATCCATGTGCTGTTTGCTAACATTTCGTTTTTATGACTGTATACAGTGGGAATTATGACTATGCTAAAGATATAAAGACGATGACATTATAACATTTACATATCTATTTCACTTGCTGCATTTTTACTCAATAGCTGTATCATATAGTACATTTCTATATTTAGAGAGTTCTGCCTCCACCTCTGGTTTGCGGGCTCGAGACATACATGAGGCAGTTGCCAGGTATTGGGCGCTGCTCGGTGACTTTTTCTCCGCGAACTTCGTTTTTCCTCTTCCGCCCAAACCTGGCATGTCCTTAAATGACTTTCAATAGGACATTAAGCAATGATAAACTCAACAAAAATGGTGGTGCCATACTGATCAATTTCTACAGGTCAGGCCGAAAATGGTCTCCACATA